ATGCTTAATCTGGGTACATTCCACCCTGTACTGCGACGCAGCGCATAAATGCACCACATAACTATACAGTTCCAATCATACAATAAGTACATTCACTCAGTGGTATGATGCCTAACGTGGTGTGCAGAGAAAAACGGTTCCCCCGAACTATCACGTCATGCATGACATTGCTTACCCCGAGACTGTTTGTGGTCCCCTAAGGTTCCACCAGAGTAACGTGGCAGCACGATGTCAGACGTGCAGCGCCTGAGTTAAACCCCTGTACTGCAACATAAACCGTAGCATGCAAAACATTACCGACTGTACAAAAACAAGTTAAATAAGCATCAAGTGTGATGGGGGGTAGGAAGGAGGGCAGAGGGGGGAAATAGAGTTCACAGGCCTGAAGCTTTATTGAAAGGACAAAGACATGCAAGGGAGAGTAGGGGGCAGGGGAGATCTTCAGATGTCCTCTTCCTCCTTAAAGTCCATCAAGTTATATAGTCTCTGAGCAGATTGTGGACCAGTCTGCGACAGTCCTCAATGGACATCCTCTGCCACTGGTGGATGAGGCATTTCCTGGCGCACCATAAAGCGTCTTTGAAACAACACAGCACTTACCAGGTTCAGTCAATGTCCTCCAGGGTGAAAGTCCCACAGAAATGTCTGCTCAACACACCGAAGTGTGTGATGGCTGCCTGTGGCACAAAGCCCTTGAGTTCTGGTTCCAAGGCCCTCAACAGGTCCTGAGCAAAAGAGCACTCCCAGAAAATGTACTGAGCAGTTTCCTCCTGGAAGACGCAAAAAGGGCAGTGCCTGTATCTGCTCAGGTTCCTGGCATGCATAAATGTCCTGAGTGGCAACCCCCCTTGGATCGCCATCCATGCCAGGTCCTTGTGCCTGTTGGTGAGTCTCTTTGAAGAAACATTCCTCCAGACCACCTTGCAAGTGGCTAAAGGCAGGCCTGGAACCGACTCCAAAATGTCCTTTGCTCTAATCAGCTTGTAGATACTCTTTGGTCTCCACAAGTCGGATTTGACTCCATGTAGCCCCTGCTCCTTGATAAGCTTACCTGTAGGCAGGGCTGGGACAAGAGATGGTAGGCAGGCAGGGCTGGGCACTGTGGTACCAAGTGAGGTGGGGCGGGGGCACCACCAGGTAATTTGGGGAGAGGGGATTTATATTGTGTTGAGAATTATTCTAGGAGTGGAAATGTGCGGAGGTGTGGCTAGGAGTGGTGATTTGGTGGGATTTGTGTTGGGAGGGGGAAGAGAATTTGTGCTAGAAGTGGGGATTTGTTTTATTTTTTGCTAGAAAGGGTGATATGGTAGAGGGGAGGAAGGAATTTGTGCTAGGAGGGGAATTTTTTTTCTTTTATTTGGGGGGGGGGGGGGCTTAGGGATTCGTGTTGGTAGGGATGATCGGGGGTATTTGTGCTTGGAGGGGAAATTTGGGAGGAGGGAATTGTGCTGGGATGGGGAATTGGGATTTGAGCTAAGGGGGGATGGGGTTTATTTTTACTGGGAGGTGAGGAAATGTATTATGCTTAAGAGGTAAGTATGAAGATTAGTGCTCAATTTTTTTTTTTGGGGGGGGGGGGGGGGGGGATTTTTGCTGACAAATAATGCTCATACAACTTTACATCTCAGGAAAAGGGGGTGGGGGGGTCACAATTTGTCAATTAAGTGGTGTTTACTACTGCTTTAAGGTGAACCATTTGCCTGTCATTCAAGTGCTCTCTAGTTGGAGCCAACACAGGTCTCAGGACATTCCACCCACCAGTACATGACTCAGGCCTGAAGATTAGCTGCACCTAGCACTGCATTGTAGTAAGTGAGAAAGTCACATGCTACCCCATTCCTAGAAGCACCAAGTATTTCATTTCACTCTGCAAGTGAACTGGACAACACACAGACAGTAGGTGAAAACAGTCTGAAGTAAAAGTTAACTTTATAGACTATATAGGGAAGAAGCAGAGTGCACAAGCCTAAAGTCCAGTGAGACAGCAAGTGCCCACTTCCACCTGTGTTCTGCCGCAACAAACGTTAATGCATCATATACACGTCGTTGTGTTATTGTCAATGGCATCCCCCAAAGGGTAGGCACACTGCAACACATGATAATGCACTACCATGCTTTGTTGGAGCTGTATTGCTAAAAAGGGTGCATTTCCTTATTTTGTCAATTGCAGTGTTTTAGGAAATCTATCAAATTAATGGTTTGCTTTGACATAACACAATAGCATGCAACATAACACATATGTGTTCGCTAAAGGCACTAAAAAAGAAAGGTGTAAATGGGAATTAACAGCTGCAGTGTCAAGAGGAAAGTAGATCTCATTAATGGCTGTATCCAACGAGTACTGCAGCATCATTTCTGGGTGAAACATATCTTTAAAGGGGAAAGAGAGCAGTTCTTTAGTAGCTCACATATTGCCTTGTTTGTAAGCACAGATTAGCACTGATAGAATTGTTTTGCTTGGCCCAATGTATGCAGTTACATGCTTTACTGATCCTCTCACCTTCCACCGGGGAGTGCAGTCTGTGGGCTTCCAATGCCCTCCGGGTCCAATACCCATATCAGCAAACATCTGATGAACTTCTTCTAACGAGATCTCACTCATGTTAATATCTGTGGGCCCACCTGCAACGAAGAACAGTTCTAATTAAAGCCCGCATTTTGCTATGCTGAATTTAAAATAGGAGCAACTGAAAAAAAACTACAAAACATAAAAAGTCTAGTAAAATAAACAAGGAAACAGTGAAAAAAAAAAAAATTAAGTTTCATCATCCTTCATGTTGTACCAGACTTTGACAGTCATATAAAGGGAATTGCTACAGCAAAAAAGACTAAAAAGGGAAACTTCGAAACTGTGCGAAACTTCCGTAAAGACTTTGTAATTTGCATGCTTCAGTTACATTTCAGATTACTGAAATCTCGTTTACCATCTATCAATAGTATTACTTGTTCTACAAGTTTCAGTTGAAATTTCAGAATATTGTACTCTTGGTGGGTGTCTGTCAAAATTATTATGGGCAAAAATGTTGATATAGAAGATAACCCCCAAACCACATTGAGGAATGCTGCAAATGTTAGTGATTTACTATGCACCATGACAATAGGTTCCAATACAGGTCCAAACTCTTTAACCTCCCTAGCGGTCTGATTATGTCCATATTTCTGTGCTCAAAGCGGTACATTTTTTGCATGGAAATATATAGTTTTTTTATTGTAGGCCTGTAATTTTTAGGAATAACTCACTGAAATCTGTCTGAACAAGAGTCTAGTAAACATCCCGGGTATTTTAAAATTTGAAACACGAAATCATAAATTATAATTTAATAAATAATCATAAAAAATAATAATAATAAATTTAATTAAATAATATAATCAAATCAAAAACACTGAAATTTGAAATATAGCTCCAAGTTTGCACATCACTGAGCAAAGTCGCAAAATCGTTTTCAGTGTCCGATGACGAATCACCCCACGAATCATTATCACTCAATTCTGCAAGTGGTTCTAATTTACTATCGCTGTTCTCTAGCTGGTTTAAAACCGATTTTGACCTACAGGGACGCTTTTTGGACGCCATGGACGTTTCTCAGTTTCCAGGCAGAAAGAACGGTACAAATGCAGGCAGGGCACAGGACAAAGCACTAGGGACAAAATGTATGTGAAATGGTTTGATACAGTAATGTTTTACTATGTGATTTTAGTGTATTGAGTGAATGTCACTTTTGCTCATTTTCAAATTTCCCGCCGTTCCATCCCCCGTACGTCCCGACGCTTGCAGGGGACGGAACCTAGATGACAGATGCCGGCATCCACCGGATTACATTGCCGGGGACACCGCAGGAGGGACATCGCGGGAGCGCAGGACAAGGTAAGTGAAGAACAGATGCCGGAGCAGCGCTGCATGCTAAGCCCGAGTGTAGTTCGGGGTTACTGCTTTTGGTACTGAAACTTTACCCCGAGCTACACTCGGGAATACCTCCAGGGAGGTTAAAGGATAAGTTCATCTTTTAGAACATGTTACACTGGTATTTAGAGTGCAACATGTTCCAGCACCCCTCCTCATGCCCTGAACGCAGATGCAATGCTATGCACGCTCTTGTGGGAAAAAATAAATGCACATTTGTTTTCTGCAAAAAAGATTAACTTAGTCTTTAATGAGACAGCAACAGCTAAAAAAGTGGACTGTTCTATCATCTACCTTACTAACCGTTCCATATCTGCCAATCCCTCCACTGGCTGCCCACTGCCCAACGGATAAAATTCAAAACATTAACAATAACATATAAAGCCATTTATAACTCTGCCCCAAACTACATCATCAATCTTACCTCCAAATATCACCTAAACCATACTCTCCGCTCCTTGCATGACCTCCTGCTCTCTAGCTCCCTTGTCTCCTCCTCCCATGCTCGTCTCCAGGGCTTCTCCAGAGCTTTCCCCATCTTCTGGAACTCTCTACCTCAATTTATCATACTATCGCCTACTCTGCTCACTTTTAGGCGATCTCTGAAAACCCCTCTTCAGGGAAGCCTATCCTGCCCTCAGCTAATAATGGAATCTTCTATTCCTCCTACCAGTCCATCCCCCACAGTTATTACCTTTTATACCACTAGCCCCTCCATCTTAGATTGTAAGCTCCAAGGAGCAGGGCCCTCCTATCCCTTTTGCATTAAACTGTATTGTTGCTGTATTGTCTCCTGTTATATTGTAAAGGGCTGCGCAAACTGTTGGTGCTATATAAATCCTGTATAATAGTAATAATACAGCTAGTGAAAACCCAAAATTTGTATCCCAGAAAATTATGAAATTACATAAGACAGATAAAAAAAAAAATAAAAAATTTTGATACAGAAATGTTGGCTTACTGCAAAGTATGTCCACATACAGTATAGTATGCACTCAATACTTGGACAGTGCTCCTTTTGCATGAATTACTACATCAATGCGGTGTCACATGGAGGCGAGCAGCCTGTGGCACTGCTGAGGTGTTATGGAAGCTGCTTTGATAGCGGCCTTCAGCTCGTCTGCATTGTTGAGTCTGGTGTCTCTCATCTTCCTTGTAACAATATGCCTCAGATTCTCTATGGGGTTTAGGTCAGGCGAGTTTGCTGGCCAATCAAGTACAGTTATACCATGATCATTAAACCAGATACTTTTGGCAGTGTGGGCAGGTGTCAAGTCCTCCTGGAAAATGAAATCAGCATCTCCATAAAGCTGGTCAGCAGAGGGAAGCATGAAGTGCTGTAGAATTTCCTGGTAGAGGGATGTACTTATTTTGGACTTGATAAAACACAGTGGACCAATACCAGCAGATGACATGGCTCCCCAAATCATCACTGACTGTGGAAACGTCACACTGGACCTCATGCAACTTGGATTATATGCCTCTCCACTCTTCCTCCAGACTCTGGGACCTTGATTTCCAAATGAAATGCAAAATTTACTTTCATCCAAAAAGAGGACTTTGGACCACTGAGCAATAGTCCAGTCCGTTTTCTCCTTAGCCCAGGGTAAGACGCTTCTGATGTTGTCCCTGGTTCAGGATTGGCTTGACACAAGCAATGCGACAGTTGTAGCCCATGTCCTGGATATGTTTGTGTGTGGTGGCTCTTGAAGCACTGACACCAGCACTGACCATTTAAAGGCTCGGGAAACCTTTACAGGTGTTTTTTGAGTTAATTAGTTGATTATAGTGTGACACCATGAATCTATAATATTGAACTTTTTTTTAAGCCATCATCATCCAAATTAAAAGAAAGAAATGCTTGAAATATATCACGCTGTGTGTAATGAATTAATAATAATTAACACTTTTTAATCAGAGTATAACATTAAGTCAATTAAACTCCTGGGATATTAATCTGGTCAGTTAAGTAGCAGAGGGGGTTAAGTTAAGTTTCAGCTGCTTTAGTGTTAATGACATTAACAACAGGTGCAATAGATGGGCAACAATGAGGCGATCCCCAAAACAGGAATGGTTTTACACATGGAGGCCACAGACATTTTTTCCCTACTCATCTTTTCTGACTGTTTTTCACTAGTTTTGCATTTGGCTAGGGTCAGTGTCACTACTGGTAGCATGAGGCGATACCTGGACCCTACAGAGGTTGCACAGGCAATCCAACTCCTCTAGGAAGGCAAATCAATACGTGCCATTGCCAGGTTTACTGTGTCTCCCAGCACAGTCTCCAGAGCATGAAGGAGATTCCAGGAGACAGCCAGTTACTCTAGGAGAGCTGGACAGGACCGTAGAAGGTCCTTAATCCACCAGAAGAACCGGTATCTGCTCCTTTGGAGGAACAGGATGAGCACTGCCAGAGCCTTACAAATTACCTCCAGCAGGCCACTGGTGTGAATGTCTCTGTCCAATCAGAAACAGACTTCATGAGGGTGGCCTGAGGGCCCGCAGTCCTCTAGTGGGCCCTGTGCTCGCTGCCCGACACCATAGAGCTCGATTGGCATTTGTTATTTATCATCAGAATTGTGCTTTTCACACCCTGAGCACATGTGACAGCCGTGAAAGGGTCTGGAGAAGCCATGGAGATTGTTATGCTGCTTGTAACATTGTTCAGCATGACCGTCGTTTTGGTGGTGGGTCAGTGAGGGTCTGGGGAGGCATATCCATGGAGGGAGGCAGAGACCTCTACAGGCTAGACAATGGCACCCGGACTGCCATTAAGTATTGGGATGAAATCCTTGGACCCATCCCAACCCATCCACTGGTGCAGTGGGTCCTGGGTTCCTCCAGGTGCCTGACAATGCCTGGCCTCATATGGCGAAAGCATGCAGGCATTCCTGGAGGATGAAGGAATAAATACCATTGAATGGCCCCTACGCACGCCTGACCTAAATCCAATAGAACACCTCTGGGATATCATGTTTCCATCCATCGGACGCTGCCAGGTTGCACCTCAGACTGTCCAGGAGCTCAGTGATGTCCTGGTCCAGATCTGGGAGGAAATACCCCAGGACACCATCATCTCATTAGGAGGATGCCCCGACATTGTCAGGCACGCATACAAGCACATGGGGGCCATACAAACTACTGAGTACCATTTTGAGTTGCAGCAATGAAATTTCAGCCAAATGGATTAGCCTGCTGCATCATTTTTTTCACTTTGCTTTTCGGGGTGTCTTTGAATTTAGTCCTCTGTAGGTTGATCATTTTCATTTCCAGCAAACGATGGGGCATCCTTACGTTCCTAACACATTACCCAGTCTGTATCAGTATAGATATCCAGCATTATATTTTTCTCCATTGAGATCTAATGTGTTTTCAAAGTGTTCCTTTAATTTTTTTGAACAGTGTATATGAGTATCACTTTTTGAACTGAATTACTGAAATAAATGAACTTTTTGACGATATTCTAATTTATTGAGATGCACCTGTATTTGCCTTTAGTAAATCAATCCCAATGTCTCCTCTCCCTGCTCCAAGGCCAAGGGTGTCACTTTCCTGCAAATAGAATCCAACCACCACCTCAGTTCTTTATTATTTTTATTAAGGAGATTGGTTCAGTGGAGCCTGGCACTATCATTTTGTTTCGTAATGACTGCAATTATTACTAGGTATTTATTAAAGGTCAACTTATGAAGTATACCAGTCAGGAAAAAGATAAGAAACTAATCTAACATGAGTAATGGGAATATTTCATAATGCCCTGGACTATCCATAGGACAGCTTGCCAGTATAATATTGGATGATCAGCCACAACAGAGCGTACACCAGACATCTGTCTTTCCTTTGCAAAGCCCCTGTCTATAGAGAAGGCACCAAGGTCTATTTCCATAGAGAACTCCTGTAGAACCTGCAGCCAAAGCTTGCATGCTCATGTCTTGTCCTGCCCCAGTGCCACTAAGTGTTATGGGGGGGAAACACATATTCAGGGGTGAAACATGTAATATGTTAGGAAAATACAAGCCCCCTCTCATTGCCCTCTCATTGCCAATCCACTGTTGTGACAACTAGCAGGGGATCTCCCCCCCCCCCCCCCCCCCCCCCCCACTAGCTCTCACAATTATAAAAAAAGAAAAATGGCCATGAGAAGCTCCGCCCACCTGGCCGTGTCACTCATTCTGTAAATGCGAAAACGTTTGCGGTTCTTGGCTTGTACTTCTCAATGAACTACCACAGCGCTGTGGAGCACTGTGGTAGTACATTGATTCCTCCTGTCAGTGTATCTGCTTGTCCGTATGATGTACGAACACACAGATACATTGACAGGTCTGCAGGAGACCTGCATGGCACCAACCATCTGCTGACCGCTGGTGCAATGCTTTCCAGGCTCCCAAAACAAAAAAAACAAAAAAAAAAAAAAGGTAAACTTTTTCTATCTGCAAAAAAAGTGAGTTTATTTGTTTTTTTGTTAAAAGATTAACTTATCCTTTAAAAGGGTGGATGAATGTGAAGTTACACCCTGAGACATGTTCTGGTGTATGCTGCAAACTACCAGAACAGGTATATTAACATAACAAAATAGGTACATGTCAGTGCCTAATGGAAGACAAATGGCAGCTGGGAAAGAGGTCAATATGCTAAAATTAACTATTCACTCAAAGTGCAAAAAATAAATAATAAAATAGCAGTTCGCAAACTTCCACAGTGAAACAAAATGTGATCAAAATTCCTAAATCGATAACTAGTGAAATTCATAAAATAAAGAGTGAAAAGGCCATCAATCTATTTTACTCATATAAATAGAGTTCCACTAACTCATAAAAAATGAGTGCAAAACCTTCCACCACTAATAAACAGATAATTCCGCGACTCCACAATGTGCACAGCCTAAAAATGTCACCAACACTCTGCACTCAAAGACTATGACTGCATAATGTATAGCAGCAGAAACAGTATAAAAAAAAACTCTGGTAGTCTTCACCTATCCCTACAGGTATCTGTTCCTTTAAGGCAGTGTTTCTCAACTCCAGTCCTCATGGACCCCCAACAGGTCATGTTTTCAGGATTTCCATTATTTTGCACAGGTGATTTAATCAGTTTCACTGCCTTAGTAATTACCACAGCTGTTTCATCTGAGGGAAATCCTGAAAACATGACCTGTTGGGGGTCCATGAGGACTGGAGTTGAGAAACACTGCTTTAAGGCAACAACCTATTGGCTTTGACTCCACCATCCAGGGCACAAAACCAGGTGCTGCGGCTGTATGGAGGAAAAGCCCACAGACCGGAGCCAGACAAATTTCTCATAGTGTAGTATTTTTTTTTTTTTTAACCACTTGCCCTCCTGAAGATTTACCTCCCTTCCTGACCAGGCCATTTTTTGCCTTACAGCGCTGCATTACTTTAACTGACAACTGCGTGGTCATGCAACGCTGCACCCAAATTAAATTTCCATCCTTTTTTTCCCACGAATAGAGCTTTCTTTCGGTGGTATTTGATCGCCTGTGCTGTTTGCTATTGAACATGTCCAGTAAACAACATTTTTTTTAAAACTCAAAATTTCGTCATACATTTAGGCCAAAATGTATTCTGCTACATGTCTTTGCTAAAAAAAAATCCCAATACGTCTAAATTAATTGGTTTACATGAAAGTTATAGCGTTTACAATATATGAAGAAAGGAACGAGCGCTGGATATGACAGGATTCAAGCTGCTAGCATAAAGGTAAACCTCGTATACCCCCTTCATCAAAAGTCAAATACAAAAAGTTGCAGCGCTTGAGTGTATAATACAGGGAATTAACATGAATAGCAGACTTAAACATTCATATTTTGACATGCACCAGATCCCACACTCTTAAATTGATGTAAACAGTAATCAGATAAGTAATGCAGATCTATCCGACTAATCAAGGTGCCTATAGTGATGGAGATGTTAAAGTCATAAGTTCTGTGATGTATCCAAACAAATCCGTGACTTCCGTGATAGGGGAATAACTGTATAATGCACTAACCAGATAGCGCAAGTAAATGCGCAGTGGAGTATAATGACCTACTCCTGGTCACAGCCAGATGGTCCTCAGCGTGAAGCCCTCAGGAACACCAGTGCACCACTCTTGCCGTCTCCTACCACCAGGGGGAGTGCGCCTCCTTACAGTAACACGAAATCACTTTATATCCTCTATCGCCAGGATTGGTGTACTTTCATATCAGGAGATCATCTCAGGGGCTCGGCAATAAGACCCAAAAGAAAGAAATCTTGATAGTGTAGTATTTTTATTCAAAGGTAAAAAGTAAGTAATACACTTACATGGTAATATCCAACAAAAGCTGATGCATAGAATCCAAAAAGATGGCCGACAGTCAGATGCATGAAACAAGTGGATGATCAATGGTATGAGAGGTGTCCTTATCCCTAACGCGTTTCGTGGCAATGGCACATTATCAAATAATGTACCATGTAAGTGTATTACTTACTTTTTACCTTTGAATAAAAATACTACACTATCAAGATTTCTTTCTTTTGGGTCTTATTGCCGAGCCCCTGAGATGATCTCCTGATATGAAAGTACACCAATCCTGGCGATAGAGGATATAAAGTGATTTCGTGTTACTGTAAGGAGGCGCACTCCCCCTGTTGGTAGGAGACGGCAAGAGTGGTGCACTGGTGTTCCTGAGGGCTTCACGCTGAGGACCATCTGGCTGTGACCAGGAGTAGGTCATTATACTCCACTGCGCATTTACTTGCGCTATCTGGTTAGTGCATTATACAGTTATTCCCCTATCACGAAGTCACGGATTTGTTTGGATACATCACAGAACTTATGACTTTAACATCTCCATCACTATAGGCACCTTGATTAGTCGGATAGATCTGCATTACTTATCTGATTACTGTTTACATCAATTTAAGAGTGTGGGATCTGGTGCATGTCAAAATATGAATGTTTAAGTCTGCTATTCATGTTAATTCCCTGTATTATACACTATAGCGTTTACAAATGGCGGTATATATACTGGGATTTTTTAAATTTTTTTACTAGTAATGACGGCGATTGGCAACTTGTAGCGGGCGTGCGGCAGCCATTCTGGCACTGGGGGGAAGGGACATGGCGTCACTTACATCCCCAGTGACACCAATACAGTGATCAGTGGTAATTAAAAGCACTGACACAGTACTAATGGCACTGGGCAGGAAGGGGTTAACATGTGGGGCGATCAAAGGGTTAACTGTGTTCTGTTTTAGTGTGCTGTGTGTGTGTGCTTCACCAAAGCCACGCAGAGCAGTGTGCAGGAGCTGACGGGAGAGAACTGTTTTGTTTACTTACAGTTCTCTCCCTTCCCATCACATTTGGAGGGCAGTGCCACTGCCAAGCACGACCGATTCAAGTGGGGTCATGCTATTGCGCAATATATACATATAAAATCCCATTTGGAAGGGGGTGGGGGGCATTTATGAGGTGGCAGTATCACCTCCTGAACGAATGGCAGCTGGTGACAGCTGAGCAGCAAGGGCTGCTACCCCTGGGAATCAGTACTTAAAGTGACACCTCGTGTGTTTTTTTTTTTATTTTTTACATTGACAATTTTTTTTGCTATTTTCCTTGGAGTTCTGCTTTAGTGCTCTTTCACACTCTTGGTAACGCTTCTGTGCTGGATCACTTTTCAGAGAGTGGTATAGCAGTGGCTAACAGGCATTCGGGAGATGCTACTGTCACCTCCAAATGCCTGTTTTTTTAACTTTGTTTTGCCGCATTGCAATATTACATTGTGTGACCATGCCACAACTGCAAGCCAAGCATTTGGTTCATGGTTACTTTGTGGTCTAATTGATCTCAATGGGTGCCATTTGGGGCCGCCTGTCAAATTTGGCAGCCCATGTTAAAAATGCAGCAGCTGTGATGCAAAGTATTGCAGCTGTGGCATGTGTACACCCCTGTTAATCTGAAATGTTATCTGGATGAGCAGCCCAGGAAGGGGGGGGGGGGGGGGAGGCATGATAAGACAGGTCGGGACTGTAAAACCGTAGCTCAGCCACATGTTTTTACCGCTTTCCACCCCCCCTCAGCTGCCTGTATGAGAGAACCCCCATGAATAATTACACACACTTCAGAAAAGTATACAAAGCAGGAAAATAGTCTTTTTAGCTTCTGTTAGATTTGCAAAATGTCACAGATTGTCTAGAATATATCTGCACTTATTTGTTTAGCTGGCCATGAATGCTGCGTACAGCACTACTTTGTAAACAAGTCCTTCTCCAGTAAACGCCAGATGAATGGGTCCCTAAAACATGTCGAAACACATTTTGCAGTTTGACGTTGATACAAATTCACTGTTGTGGGAAAAAATAGAAACAAGGAAAGGAACTATATGCCAATAACTGAATACTTACGCATAAACGGCAACTTTTCCGGACACGGAAGGTTTGGAGAGAATGTAAAGTTTTCAGGCAAATACATTGTGGACTGTGCGGTGAAATCGGTGGAATTGGTACCATCTGGGTAGTCTACAAAAGCAGAAGAGGAATTCATTAATATTTGGGCAGTTTTTAGTCATTTTACATCTGAAGGTAAAATGTTCCAAAATCTCTTGTATACTACATGACATATGAGGTTATACTTGTGGCACTGCGGGAGTTCAGATATTTTCTGTGTGCTGTACACCAAAGAGTCATGTGCACCTTTCCCGGTACAAAGAAAATCCCTGGAATTCATAAAGGATGGTGCAGATTTTGCAAAAGTGTCCTCTAAAAGTGGCGCAGTGTGCACCAAACTCATGTATTTGTCTTGTACCTGAATTTGGCACAATGCTTTTACAACCGTCGCACACATCATCAAAGCTTCATTCACACTTGCACTCCTATGTTTAGCTTTCCTAACGCATTAGAAGTTCTCTGAGAAATATGAACAACTTTTATTCTTCTCAGATGACTTTTTCCTGCAGTTAGAAGGTCCTGCTTTAGTAGAGCCGCGTTTAAATTTTTCAGTCAGATTCTGAATGCACAGAATTCTAAGATCTCTGAATCTGGTTAAAGTGCTGGTAAACTTTTTTCTTTTATACTTTTACCTACAGGTAAGCTTATAATAAAATCTTACCTGTAGGTAAAATGAATATCTCCTAAACATGCCCTGTTTAGGAGAAATGCGCTCTTTTTGAGAACCGATGCATGAGCTCTGAAGGAATGGCATTGCGAAACTGGAAGGAAGTCCGGGTGAAGATGGAAGCCTCTGCAGTGGTGTCAGCGTGCCGCTGGAGGGCTTCTTTTTAAGGTACTATGTAATGCATACTAGCACATTGCGACATTACCTTGCAGGGGATTTTGTTTTTAGCTGCGGTTTACTACCGCTTTAAAGCGGTTGTAAACCTCAGACATGCTCTTAGATTGTAAGCTCCAAGGAGCAGGGCCCTCCTAAGCCTCTTGTATTGAACTGTATTGTCTCCCGTTATATTGTAAAGCGCTGAGCAAACTGTTGGCGCTATATAAATCCTGTATAATAAAAATAATGAAATATGAATAAAGCATTTCCCTCTATAGTGTGTGCTTGTCTCACTTAAGAGCACTAAGTATCATTTCTGTCTGCTGCTAGCATGAATCACTTTTGACAAGTTTTCCTGACACCAAGAGAAAAAAGGTGACAGGAGAAGGACCTATAGTTGATGGACAGCCTCAGCTTTGTTCCTGTGAGCTGTGTGATGGGGGGGGGGTCTTCCCTCCAATCAGCTCTCAGAGCTCTCCTCATTGAGCTCTGCAGAGTGTAACTGCAGCTCTCCGCCCTCTTTTTTTCTGAACACTAAGAAAGCTGTATAAATGCTGGTGCCTGAACAAATGTAGAGAAGACTGCCGATAAACAGGTATAGTTTATGTAGGAGGATTTGTTTCGTCTCTGTGTGTCACCTGAGGCCAGTCACTTCACTGGGTATATGAAAGGGTTTACAAGCACTTTAAACATCCATTGTGAATGATACCATTGAGAAATCTTTATCTGCATTTAGAAATGTGCTCTAAACACATATAGGCATAAGTTTGACACTGCAAGTGTGAATGAGGTCTACGTTGCACCTTCACCATGGGAAAAAAGAAAATTCATTATGGCATAAATATCATTACCAAGATTACAGCATAACAAATGACACTAATTTAATAATTTTTAGATGCATTAATCTGAGTGACATGTAACGTGAAGCTTCCTATGTCATGTCTGTTTATTCCAGTATCTAGGCTCAGCACAGCCTCACATTTTGTAAAACAATTACACTATCAGGCTACCCAGCTCGTTTGAGCTTTCAGTTGTTACATTTGCTGCCAAAATGGGAACAAAAGGCAAATGGCCTACTGAACTTCTAGCAGCAACTGGTGACTGTGACAATCAAAGTGGTATCTTAGCACAGCCGCACATAGATAAGCTGGAAATGCCATAAAATCACCATAAAACACTATACGGCAGAAGACGACAATGCTGCATGTTGCAAGCAATGCACATAATCAGGGAGCCTTTTCACTTACGTCTTATGACCTTAAGTACTGAATACTTTGCAAGTGTACTGTAGGTCATGAATTATGATCCACAAAGAAATAAAAAATAAGCCATCATCAAATGTATGAAAACCACAAAAAAGCTATAGCCTAAAGTTGGTAGAGGGGTTACGATCCACAAATTGGAAGCCTTCTCCTAGACTTACTTCACAGCATCACAAAGGAAGCTTTTGGTGTTTATTCAGATGGTATGAAGTGTAAGACAAACAGATGGCTTCTAATGGACAGCAGGCTGTGGTCCGTCAAGACATGGCCCTTTTCAGCATACATGGCATCATACTAGTGCTGCTTCATACCACAGAAGGGAAAGGTTTTAAAGACCTCCAGCCATTTACATATCTGCCCCAGCACTTGGTAAATTTAGTTTTAGCTGCGCCATGGAAAGGAACAAAAAGGTAAAGGAAAGCCAACTCCCCAGTCCTATCTCTGCAACATGGTGCCAATCTATTCACACACCACTTATAATACAGAGACAACGGACCTCATAGTATAATATCATACAAGTAAGATGGCATCAAGTGCTAGCACAATGGAATATCCTTTATAATGATCCCGTTTCATATCCATGATGCAGTTACATAGGTTACATGATGCCATGCTAAGGTGTGGTTGGTAGTGATAAGATAGCCAAGGTAGGGGAGACCATATGTTTTCAAAAGGGTGCCACATAAACAAGGTCTATCACGCCTATACGTGCCTAACTGCTAAGAGGGCTTTGATTGGGTGCTCAACCTGTAGCACTCCAGCTGTTGTGGCACTACAATTTCTATAATGCCTTTGCCTTTCAGAGTCATGTTTGTAACCATCAGCCTTGCAATGCCTCATGGAACTTGTAGTTCCACAACAGCTGGAGGGCCACAGGTAAAGCGGAGCTCCACCCAAAAGGGGAAATTTCACTTTAAGGACTGCTCCCCTGCTTCCCATTAAGAACTGCTCCCCCGCTCCCCATTAAGGATTGGCACCTTTCGGGAGTAGGGGGGAGCCTTTGCCTTTCAGAGTCATGTTTGTAACCATCAGCCTTGCAATGCTGACGGTTCCACAACAGCTGGAGGGCCACAGGTTAAAGCGGAGCTCCACCCAAAAGGGGAAGGGACTGCTCCCCATTAAGGATTGGCACCTTTCGGGAGTGGGGGGGCAGCGGGTACCCAAATTTGACAGGTACCCGCTCCCACTTCCGGTCCGATCGCCTAGGCCCTAGGCGATTGGAAGCAGCAGGTGTCCCTCCCTTCCTGTAGCCTTTTGGGACACGTGACAGGTCCCAGAAGACTACAGCACCATTCACAAAGCGCAGAACTACTCTAGCATGCGCAGTGGGTACCCGACTGTGAAGCTGCAAGCTATAACAGCCAGGTGCCCACACTGAAGATGCTGGCCTCCTGGAACACAGGACGCCGGTGAAACAAGCTGGGGGGATACACAGCGGGACCGAGGGACAGGTAAATGGCTTTTTAAAAGTCAGTAGCTACAGTTTTTGTAGCTGCTGACTTATTTTTTGATAGGTTGAGTGGAACTCTGCTTTAAGCACCTATGGCTTAAAGCCAGCAGTATGACTTGTGCTGAGTTTACGCCATCAACTATCCAACAGTACTGCTGCAGGTAAAGTGCCCCATACAACAAAAACATGCATGGTCACTATAACAGGAACCGTTCTGAAAACTGTCTGGCCAAGAACATGGAGGCTGGAAGTGACACTGAGCAGCACCAAACATCAGTACACCCTACATAAAGTAACCTTAGCACTGACTGGTGAGTAGACAAAATGTAAAAAAACAGTAAGGCCTTATGCACATGGATGTTTCGAAACACAAAAGTGATCAAGCATAAAATTCCTGGAGCCTGACATACAACCAGCCATACAAGTGAATGATTGTGTGGGTGTAAATGCTGATGCTTCTGTGGATTGGTGTTTACCCGCATATAAGCACACGGCACTTATAGGAAAATACGTCATACATACATGTGCGGGTAATCGACTATGCACAGGAGCATCAGAATTTGCACGAGTATGGCCAAGAACAGCCATTCACATGTATGAAGGCCATATGCACCACCAGAGGCTCCCTGAGCACAAAAGGCACCATGAGTTTTATACCTAAACGCTTACATTTGTACAAAACCTTAGTTTAAAGTGTAAGTTCACCTTCGAGATGGTATGAAGTGTAAGACAAACAGATGGCTTCTAATGGACAGCAGGCTGTGGTCTGTCAAGACATGGCCCTTTTCAGCATACACGGCATCATACTAGTGCTGCTTCATACCACAGAAGGGAAAGGTTTTAAAGACCTCCATCCATTTACATATCTGCCCCAGCACTTGGTAAATTTAGTTTTAGCTGCGCCATGGAAAGGAACATAAAGGTAAAGGAAAGCCAACTCCCCAGTCCTATCTCTGCAACATGGTGCCAATCTATTCCAAAAATCCCCCATGCAGTTCTATAACTCCTGAACAGTACATACCAGCACGCCTTCTGTTGTAAATGGTGGAGTACACGCGTGCGTTCTCCGCCTCCTTTAGCAGAGCTCAGTTAGAGGAGAACATGCACTGTGCATGGGGGTTGGAGAATCTTTCTGAAGGTGAACTTACACTTTAGGCAGATATGGCTGCAAATATCAGAATAAGCAAGTCTGTGACTAATTATAGGCACGAACCAGAGGATGTATTTGCTTGGCATCTGACAGGTTGCAGTGGATACATGGACACTTCTATCCTCATTTCATTAAAGTAGAACTATGGCCTCCCATTTAAAAAAAAAAAAAAAAAAGTGCACTAACAATTTTAATCCCCCTGAAAAGTCTTACAAATACCTGTTGATCCTGCTCAGTGTTACCTAATGCAGTTTCCTGTGATAGTGTGGCACTGATGCTGCACTGCTTCTGAATTCCGAGCAGAGTTGTCACTCTCATATAGGCTGTACCTGCTTGTACCACAATAAGATAAAAAAAAAAAAAGTTGCAGAAAGTTTGGCTATTGCA